TTCACCACCTGACCGCTCAGTACGTTGTTCGCATTCACATTCGCAGTTATTACACATTTTATGTGGTTAATTATCAAATTATATTGTAGTTTGGCCTGTCTCGATGGATTAGCGCATTTGAGCCGTGTACGTGACCACGCGGCGTATGCGCAATGGCCAGGCGGTGCTCGACACATTACGCATACGCCACGTTGGCCAAGTGAAAACCGCAAGACAATTTTCCGTTGGCAATGTGCAACACGAAGGCGGGGAGCAGCGGAGGGTGGTGGCTGAAAATTGAAATGATAATTGCACTTGCCCCACCCACCCCAAAAAAACAACAAATATGAAATCAGCCCACGCCTTGCTGCTCCACATTATGAGCGATGAAAGATAAATGTTGGCTCAGCTTTTTGGATTTTGGATTTTGAATTTTCGGCTTTTGGGTTTTTGTTTTTTTGTGAGGTTTTCCGCGATTTGTTCGATTCGCGTTGTTAACATAAAATCGCAATTAGTTGGCATTTTGTGTGTGGGGCAACGGCAGCTGCTATACGTGTGTATGCTGTTCTGTTTTATTAATAATCTCTTGTTACAAAATTATGCAAAACAATTTATCACAAATTTGTTTCTGGGGGGCTGCTTGCCATTGTGTTGCTTTCCGCTGGCTTTTGGCTGAGGGCGTGGCTGTGCCAAAAGATTTGCATTTACATTCTTGGGGCAGTTCATTATTCTGTTTTTGTAACTCTAAATTCCATGGATATCAAATACATAGAATAATATCAAAGTGGGTACATTTTGCAACCGAGCTTCAAATGTTAAAAAACGTATTTCTCTTTTTATCCCAAAGAAATTTCAATTTTAATATGCAAAAGCAGAATAATTAATTTTCAATTACCTGCATACATTTGTATTTATCAATCTAATTTCAATTGTATTTAAACAATTTGCGAGTCCCACATAGATTAAGCACAATTATGGCGATTTTAATGGACTTTTAAATGAAATTTAAAGGCATTTGCACTGCATTGTTTATGAACGTAAGCCACAATAAATTCGTGTTACTCGCAAATATTAAAATGTGGCTAAATATCAAATTTATTGGCATTTGATTTTAATGTTAACGGGCCAGACCAGCAAATTGGCGGTGCAAATATTGTTTGCCGGCCTGCAACATATGTTGCAAGTTGTTGCAGCTGTCAATAGAGGCGGTCACGTCATGTTGCTGTTGTTGCCAATGCAGTTGCTGCAGTTGCAGCATTGCTGCGCCAATTGTTGCTGCGTTGCTGCATTGCTGTTGCTGTTGCCGTTGCCGTTGTCTTGTCAAAAATGTGTTGTTGTCGGTGCCCGTTGTTAAGTGTTTTGGCTTAGCATATTTGTGGCATGTCTGGCATGTTGTTTAACACCCTGTTATACCCAATCGAAGCCATGTCCATGCAAATTTGCCAAAGAGAGTGAAAGGGTGAGGGGCTGGGCAACTCAATCAGACTCTTAGCTGGCCAACAAATCAGCTTAAGACAACACACACACACACATACACACACACACACATATATATGTGCACACACCTTTCCCCCAAAAGAATAGGAAATGAAACTGAGCAAAAAATACTACAATTTTTTTTTGGGGGTGCTGCAAATATTTGAACAGAAATTTGCCAGCTAGGGAAAAGCCATTGAAAGTCATTTGCCAACGTTAGGCGATGACAAACCCGATCCCAAGCGCCCCCTTGCCGCCGCCACGCCCCCTTTTCAACTGTCCGCAACGACATTTGTTACACTTTGTTTGCCTTTCGGCTGCTTCGTTGTCGGCTAGTTCGCTAAAAAAAAAATAGCGCAAAGAAAATACGGAAAAAAAAAGTATCCGCACTAAACGGGCAAAAAATTCATGGGCAAATGTGAGGCAGCTGCAAACGATTCTCAAATCGCATCAAATATCAACCGAGCATACGTTAAATGCCTCAAATTGAGTTAAAGTGCCGACGCCCGTCTCTATCTGTCTCTCTCCCATCCGCTTCCTGTCTCGCTTCCACACACTCACACACTCGCACACTCCACAGGACAAAAGCCTGCGGCAAAAACACTGGAGCCGATGAAAAAGGCAAACTACAACTGCAAATGGTGGGTAAAAAAAATCACTTGCACACGATGATGCCCACGAATCGTCACAAAATGAGCAGATCAAGGAATATCCCAACCTATCTAACTATGTAAAGAGTTTTGGTAGTTCAGTTATTTCTGATATCAATATTTTATATACCAAATTGATCAAAATGTAAAGAATTTGCTTACACTCTCGTAATAAGTCAAGCGATGTATTCAGAAATAGAATCTTTCGCTGCAAGTTTGGCCAAGCCGCCAAACGTTGATAGCGCCCCTCGCAAGGCTGCACTCCACGCACGTGAGAGCATATTTGGCTTGGCTCCATTTCAGGACGCACGGCCAGGATGCAGGACCATCACTTGGTTGTCGCCCAGCTCCCCCCCGTGCCCGCCACTTGTGCCCCTGCCGGCTTCTTTTTCACTGAATTGACTTTGGCCTGGCTGAATGTCCTGGCTGAATGTCCTGGCCACTGATCCTGCACCGACTCCACGCCGCCTGAGTGGCTGAGTGCCTGCTGTCATCATTGCCTCGTTCATCGACACTTTGCTTTTTAATCAATTTAACAATTTTTTTGTTTTCTGTTTTCTGTTTTCTGTTCAGCCCCAACATCCTTTGGCCGGTGTCCTTGTTTCGGGGGCCGATTTCCAAGGCGCCTGCGGACTCGTTTTGGCATTCGAAAGCAGCTCGATACTGCCATGATGTATGCTTGTATGTGCAGGAGTATATGCAAAAGTAATTGGCAGTTGAGGTCTCTGTGTCCTGGCACTCACACGACGCATCCTTGGGAGCCTTGAAGGCCTCCTTGGCCGATCCAACTGTCGCCCTCTGCTAAAACGTCAACAGTTGTTTCTCCGGTCTGTATGTGCATTTGCTAATTAGTTTGCCCAGGCATCAGGACATGTGTCCTGTGTCCTGTGTCCTGTGTGTGCACTGTACCCTTCACTCCGTCCACTTGAATTGAAATTCTTTCTGTTTTCCCCAAGCTTTTCCGCCCACTCGTCCTTCTGCCCTTTTTGTTTCGTGTGTTTTTTTTTTCGTATGTGTCTAAAAAGGAAATGAACTCATCAGTTTGTTTGTTTGTTTGCCTTTTCTTCATTCTTCTGCCATCCATGCCTAATGAAGTTGATTTGCCAGTAAACAGAAAGTCGAAGGACCCGCCCGAATGTCCTTTGCATTGAACTGAAAATGAGTTAATCGAGTAGTTTCGCATTCTTGCCCATTTCTGAACGTTTCTGCTTCTGAAGCTCTAGTTGGGTGAAGATTTAGATATTGCTTTAGATATTTCTAATTAACTGCATGTTTTAGCAAGTTGCATTTGTAAAATGATATAAATAATTATATACTTAGAAGGCTATTTTTGCCAGCAATTTCAATATGTATTCTTCTCCTATTAGCTGCACATTATTAACTAAAGTGTCAATTAGCCAGTTTTCCACTTCCAGTTTGCAGCGCCCTGTCTGCGGATAATTTTCATGCCCATTCTCATTTTCATTCTGATCATCGCCGCTTCCCCATTCCCTCGGCTAATGAAAATGTTTGGCGAGTTGCCGAGATGCACATTTATAATTGAACAATTTACCAGTTTTCCTCGGCCAGATTCAGAAATAACTTTATCAAAAGGCCGGGCCACTGCTTACTACACTACTTCATCTTCATCGGCTGGCCGCAAGGCGAGTTTTGTGTAGGAAAACGCTGGCCACATTGGCCGCAGTTAACGCAGTTAAATATTTTCCGCTTAATTTAACAGGAATTTCAATTGACAGACGTGAGCACGGAGTTGTTGTTGCAGTTGTTGTCGTCTGGGCAACGCATGATTTATGCACTCACACATGGCGAGAGGAGGAAGAGGAAGAGCTAGATGGCTGCGGTTGCACTGCCGTCAATTTCCATTAGACGCTGACCTTGTCAACATGTTGCCAGGCAAGCGGCAGCATTGCAATAGTTGCTGTTGTTGCTGTTGTTGCTGCCGTGGCAGTAGCAACATTCGCTGCCGGCGTCGCTGCTTTGGCTCGCGTTAAGTTGACAATTTACTGACAAATGTGTAAATTGCATTTGATCTTGTTGTTGCTGCCATTGCCGCTGCGTTAATTTATGCGCCAGGCATTTTCAAGGAAAAAAATACAAAAAAAAGCACAAAAACCAGAGAGACGGTGCTGCAACAATAACACACAAGTTGGCCAACGGGGCAGCGGGGGGCGCTGCACAAACACAAACGCAAACGCAGAAAGAAAAAACAACAAAATGCAACGACTGCAGCTTCGACCTTGATCGCCAACTTCCGCATTTTACAGTTACACTTGGCGCGTTCTCGTTCTCGATTTTCCCAGGCCGCTATGCGGAATTTTCTTCGAGTGAACGTCGCAAAAAGGTGGCAAGTGAAAGCATACTTTTTGCCACATTTTTGGACAATTTCGTTTGAAATATAACCCTATAACCCATTCTAATAATCCAATTTATGCACCAGGTCGTTTGCTCTGATTTTTGGCCCAAAATTAGATGTTTTTTGGTCAGAACTTTGGAAATAATGGTGCAAATATGGAGAGGCATACTTTGTTGAACTCGTTACTAAATTCCCAGTCAAATTGCACTTACATTTGGAATTCTTAATTTTTTAAAAAATTGTTTGCAAATTTTGACAATTTTTACAAAAATGGTCCAAAAATGCATTTTACAGAATCCTCAAAAAAGTGATCCAGATCTTTCGCAATGCTAATTAGCTGCACAAAGCAGTAAGTATTTCCGGCTCATGAATTAATTTAGTCAAGATATAATAAAAAAAAAACTTTTGGCATAAGTAATAATTTACTTATGTTTTCCGTTCTATGTCCGTAGATTCAGTCACTTTATGGGCTCGAACCAGTTTCATCCACGTAGACTTTTCAATAAGAGAATGTAAAAGCTGAGATATAGAACAGTACTCACCTTATGGGCTCTGATGGATGCGCCCTCTGAACAAGCTAGTGTGACGTCCACCAGGCTCCCGTCTTGTAGTAATTGACTAAACACCCCTAACAGGTTGGATTGGTAATTGTTCCACCTCAAGCAGTATTGCTCACTGCCCATGTCGGTGACAGCTTACGCTGCTGCAATGAATAACAATAATAGAATAATAGTAATATTAATAAATGATCAGTTGCGTGGGGCGAGTATATGAAGTGGTGTATAAAATGCAGCAGGGAATGACTCGAGTAGTAATTTCTTAATTAGGTGTTTTGCGGTTGCAGCTATAGCCGCTAATTGAAATTGCGTAATCAATCGCACATGCGGCAGATACATGCATTCAGATAGGTGTATCTTTGTATCGGTATCTTTAGATGCAATTAATGCCGCAGCGCTTGCACAAATGCCAAACAAATTGCGAAATCTTGCCCAGGGTTCACAAATGTCACTGCCACCCAACAAAAAAACTAAAAAAGGAAGAAAAAAATGAATGTATATATTTAGGGGTTATCTGCGGGGATTGGGGGCCGTGGAGGGCGTGACTAGGCGTGTCACTGCGTTATTTCCATAACAAAAACGCTGACAATGCACTTTTATCCAAGAATTTTTTGTTACAGCTGCACAACACTTTGCAGCCGACGAATATTTTGTAGATAAAATCAATGCAGTTTGATTTACATTTTCCGAAAATATAGCTCAGGAATATAGTTAAATACAGCAAAACAGGCACCTTTGTTCCACTATTTACTACTTTCAACTATTGTTGGGCATCTAGGCATCTTCAACTAGGCATGCTGCATTTAAATATTCTGTGCATATCTTAAGATTAAGTAGCAGACACTTTCAGCTTTGCTTTTACTTTGCAATCAATTTCAATCGGCTTAACCGTCTTTTCCGCACATCGCGCCATCAGTTTGCATTATTTTGATGGCTAAATAATTAATCGACCAGCATTCGGCCAATCAACGAAACGATCTGAAATTAGGCAAGCCTCCACCTAGCCAAAAAGAAATTGCCAATTGGCAATTGCCAACCCAACACCAATCCCCAATGGTAACAGCAAACATTTCCGGCCAAAACAACGCTGTTTTGATGGCCAACTGTCGCTGCTGTTGTTGTTTTCCTCAACCTGGTGCTGGCAAATCTCAGTCGCGTAAAAAAAGTAACAAAAAAAAAGGAGAAAAAAAAGAAATACAGAAATAATAACGAAGCAATAAACTCTGAATTTATTTCAACAAATAAAACTTTGATTTATTGCACTACGCACCGGGTACACAGCATGCAACGGATCTCGCTCCCAGCGCCCCTGGCTGCCCCCTTCCACCCCCCCTGCGATCCCCAGCCCCCCCTTCCATGAGCACACACCCCCCTGGAAATGGAGCTCCTCGAAGCGATTTCGCGATTTCCCGATAACGATATTATAGAGGAGTTAGAATCTGTATCTGTATCTGTATCTGAGGCGAGTGCGATCGTAAAGCGTAAATTACGCATGCATTTTGTTATGTGCATGCATGTGTGTATATATCTGCTCTTCGAATTTCCCTGCCGTTCGAAAATTCGTGCAAACTTTCAATGGGGCACTCAAACTGGGAGCATGGCACTGGAAAAAAAGATACTCGTATACTGGCCATATAAAAAACGCCATTAAAATTGGTCTTTACGCTGATGAGTTACCGTTAGCACGCGGCTATATATTTTAATAAGAGACATAAATATATATACCTGTATACTTCAGAGCTTCGTTTCACAGCTTCCGTCCCCAGCTATTCTTCAAATTGAAATAAGTTGAAAAACGTCTGAGATAAGCAACAAATTTCCAGCTGCATCTTTTGTTTTCCACGCGGTTCCCACTCCTTATTTCGCGACTGGTTCTCAAGACATTTGAAAATTGTTAGCACTCCATCGTACGACTGTGTGTTTCCTTAACCTTTTCGCCGCACTTCCCATTCAGCTAAAGATCGCACACTCACACAGCGTGGAGGAAAGCCAAAATGTTGGCCTGGAAATTATGGCCCAAGTGGCAGGCAACACGCAATGGCTAAAGGTCGCCGCATCGGCAGCAGCAGCAGCGGCAGCGGCGGCAGAGGGAAAAACTTCTTGCTGTTTTTCTTTTTCCATTTGCATGCAACGGCAGGTCGACACTTAATTAAGAGAAGTTGCTAGTGGCCATGTTGCAGTTGCAGTTGCAGTTGCTGCTGCTGGCGTGTTGCTGCTGCCCACGCATGATTTTTGAATTAGCGCTGTGTGTAGTAACAACAACTAATATAATTGACAGTTGTTGCTGCTGCCGTTGTCGCTGCTTTGCCTACGTGTTCTGTTGCAGACGTCAATGACTGGCTGCAATGCATGCTAAGTAGGGGAAATATAGACAAAAAGCTAACTAAAACCAAGCCCAGAGAAAGCCGCTAAAAAATAGCGAAAGAATGGGGAAAAATCTCCTGTGTTGCATGCAATTTGGGTCTGTTAATTGTTGTTGCTGCTGCTGCTGCTGCTGCTGCTGGTGCTGCGATTTATGCCGCTTGCATGCTAATTATGGCCAGGAGAAGGGGGCTATCAGCTCAAAAGACGGCCAAAATGGGTGGGTGAGCGGGGAAAGCGCGGGAGCGGCAGGAGGAGCAGTCAGGTTGGTGCACCACCATTACTGACAACTAAATCAGTCAAATGATGATGGCTGGCGGCGGCTACCTATAGAGTTCTTAGCCAAGTTAATGAGCAGCGTAAGACAGGCAGCAACGGGCAACAAAAAGCGGCCCACCGTTCTCCTACTTTGGCCAACTGATCTCCCACGGTGCACAGTTCTGGTCAAGATGCTGTTGCGGTTACTCATCGACGTTCTTAGTTGGCTCTGTTTTTCAATTAAAGACCCCCGTCGCTGTAGGTTCCTAAGCTCAGTAAGCATATGTTGCTGCCACAGTTGCTGCAGTTGCAGTTGCTGCTGCTGCAGTTGCTGCTTTTGCTGCTGCTACTGTTGCAGCCGCTGGCTGGCCTAAAACTCATTAATATTGAAATTTGTTCGTGTGCATGAGTTATTAGCAATTTTCTAATTAAGGCTCCCTGACGAGCCGCCAACGATTCTTGGCCAGCCGCTCCTCCCCGCCCGCGCCCCTCCTCATGCTTGGCCGCTCACCTGAGGCGCCTGCCCCTGCCCCTGCCCCTCCCTCCAGCCCCCCCCCCCCCCTTGCCAACCCCCCCAATGTCACACCCACAAGAAGGCCGCCGTTTTGCCTTTCATGTTTTGCTGCATATACATTTTTTTCGCTTTGGTTTCACGAGTGCGTTTTTTCCTCAGCTGGCGGAGAAATTTGCATTTGATTTATTTATTTATAAACTTAATTGCGGAGCGCTTTTTAAAAGTGGGCGGGGCTGGCAGACGCCGCAGAGTGTGAGCGGTTAGTTAATGTCGAATTTATAACAAATTCAGCCAGATAAGCGGTGCAGCATTGTGTTTGGAGTTTAAAGCTTCCCTTTGTGGGAAAGGGCAATAAATCACTCCACACAAATAAATATATTCCTTAGTTAAAAGTGCATTAAGTAACAGCGTGTACGTAATCTAGTAGGCTTTGTAGGAGTTCTATTCCGTAAGCTGCAGATTAGATAACTGGATTGGTGAACAATTCGTTGACCATAAATACTATTCAATTTTATATTACAATACAAAATGTTAAACAAAGTCCTAACATTCCATTAACTTTCTTTGCAGGCAGCGACTTCTAGCCCAGTTCCAGATGGCAATCAAAGTCAAAGTCTGGTCACTGGTCAGGAGATCAGACAATGATCAATGATGATCCCGCCCTGCGCCACCGGAGCCGCGTCCACTCGATGATCCACCCAGGCGCAGAAGTCCAGGTTCAGAAGCCCACGCATACGCCAGCAACCCACAAATGCGGCATGTTGCAGTTACCGTTGAATGTTGCAACTTGCTGGCTGTTGCTCGTTGGTTGCAAGTTGCTGCTTGCTGCATCCTTGGAGTGTTCTGTGCGTCCAGTTCTTGCGACCGAAACAGCTGCAACTGGCAACTGGCAACGGGCGAACCTTTTGTGGTCCAGGCCAACAGACAACACACTTGACTGATGAAGGCAGAGTAGAGTCCCCGGTTTGGCCACTTGTTTTCACGGCAGCGGAATGGGAATAGGATTGGGACTGCGACTGGGACTCAGACTGGGACTGGGAATGGGATAGGTGAACTGCGTGTGAGTACGCCTACGTGCGATGGCGGCACATTTTAAATCAAAAAGAAGGGCGCACGATGCAGTTCAGTTCAGTTCAGTTTGGCTGAGCTGAGTTGAGTTGAGTTGCAGTTATGCCGCGCCTCGTTTTTTCTCTCTACTCGATTATTAATTGCGATATCAGGGGCAGGCTGCGGGAAGCGCGGGGTGTCAGTCACTGTGCACAGCGAGAAAATAGTGGGGTATTTTTATGTAGTTCTGCTCAAACTCATACAGATTTTATGAAAATACAGCCAAGTTCCTCTGAATACCTTTACATCAAATACGAAATAGATAACTTTGGTCACACTTTTTTAACATGTACTTTGTTTCAGTCCTCTGAAATGCTTTTTGGTCACACTTTTTTAACATTTGTTTCATCTGCCATTTAAGTTCAAGTTCTCTGCAATGCTTTTACAACTTTTTGTTCTATCTGAAAATATTACAACTGCAACAGGTGCTGAACAGCGCAGTGGTTTTTTGCTCAGTGCAGGGGTGTTTGAGCTGCAAAACAGTTGCAATTTTGCTGTTGTTCGCGTTGTTTGAACATTGCCGACACAGTTTGCGATTATCATAATGCTGCCTGCGCACCTCATGTTGCAGTTGTTGCTGCTGCTGCGGCTGCTGTTGCTGTTGTCGATGTGAATGATGATTATTTTGATAAGTTGCGCAACATGTTGCTGCCGCGCCGCCTTGCTGCCTTAGTTTCCATTCCACTTCAACTTCAGATGGGCATCTCCCCACAATGGCATCTTAATTGTTCCGCTGCCGCCGCCGCCGTCCGAGCGGCAACATTGTTGCCAAGGTGTTGCCTGCCTCAAATTGCCGCTTGTCACTGTGCGGAAGTTGCAGCAACTGCAGCAGCAGCAGCAGCAGCAGCAATAACGCGAGCAACAACTATGATTATAAATGCTTTTTATTGATTTATTAATCGTTGT